GCAGGGATGAAGCAGGGGATTCTTTTTTTTTTTTTTTTAATGTAGGAATAAGCTACCAGCTTCTTTTAGTCTAATGGCAAGAATTTTGATCCTAAAGAGTTTCTAGACTCTTAGTATCTACGAAATGAAGAATTTATATTTATGCATCTAAGTATTTCTTGACTTTCAGGTTGTAAAATATTCTACCCACACTTCAAGGTTTTATGTTCTTATGTTTTCTTCTTTTTTATCAGCAGCATGTTCCCCAGTGTATGGTTACCACATTACCTCTTTTATCTACAGCAATAAAATTAATTGGAAGCATGTTCAACTTACTTGAGAGCTATAGTCAGTGGTGTTGTCAAGTGATTATGCTGACTTAGAAGGAGGACATGCTTTCCTAATGGATATGACTCTGAAAATCAAACATTCCCTAAAACTCAGATGTGCCAGAGTGTAGTTTTTCAGTAACCTAAATTATTATTTATTTCTACCCAATAGTAGAAAACTTAACCTTGTTAATTCTGAGTACTCTTAGTCCAACTTAATGGTATCTCCATTGCTCTATTTAGTACAACGTCCAGTTTAGAGTTGAAACCTCTTCTCAGATTCCTTCCTCACCCTCTCCTTGGGTTTGCCTCTGTATTCTTAGAATCATTGTATCACAGAAACTGTCGATTAAGAGGTTGCTTCTTGCCTCATGATTTTGTCATTTCCTTCCTATCCTGGCCTTTGTTTTCAAACCTATCCCCCCCTACTCTGTTACTCAGTGCATTCTCTGTAGAGTGCTCCCCCAAGTGATGACCCATTTAAGTCAGGTGCAGCCTCTAGCGAGTGTGATCCCTCCAACATTCTCAGTTGGGGTGACTGGTGCCATTTCTTCTGCTGTGGGGTACCCACATCATAGCCATTGGACATACTAGCAGGCCCACCAACATTTTCTCTGAGCTCACTCTTGTATCTTTTTTGGGGGTCCCACGGAAACTTTAAGATCTTTTTACAAGACACCTAAGAGTGGAGGGAAACGAGAGCAGGAAGTGTCCAGATCTTTCATCCTTAGATACACCCTGTTGCCATCTCTACTTCCTTATTCCCAGAGCCTTTTGTAAGAGATGAACCTCTGGGGCTCCTAGGTGGCGCAGTTGGTTGAGCGTCTGACAAGGTTTGGGCTCAGGTCCTGATCTCAGGGTTGTGGGATGGAGCCCCGCTCCTCTCTGAGTGCGGAGTCCACTTGGGTTTCTGTCTCCCTCTGCCCCTCCCCACCTTCAAATAAATAAATCTTAAAAAAAAAAAAAAGAGGTGAACCTCTGAAGCTGTTGCCCCCTAAAAGTTTCAGCTAGAAAGTGAGAAAATGAGTTGTGATGTTTTGTTAGGGAATCAAATACTTCAAATTTTAAAGGATAATTCTCTTACAATCTTCGTCCCTCGACCAGGACTTCTTTCCTGCTTCTAATTAATTTACACTTCTTTTCTGTGTTCATACTTCCTTTGCTCTCTTAAGTCTGGGTTTTGTTTTGTTTTGTTTTTTTCTTTTTCTTTTGGTGGTCAGGTGTTAGTGGTGTTGGAATTGAACTGAGGAACTGGATCTGTGGGCTTGCACTTCCATTCAAGCTTTTCTCCTAACTGAATCCCAGACTCTCAAACACTGAAGCCAACAGTCTGATGTCTTTGTTCTCTGGTCCCATTTCTGAAAACCACCTCATGATCCAAATGGCCACCCTGCGCCTTCAGTGTTCACACTGGGGAAGGGTTCTTTTTGTGGCAGTGGGGAGGGTTATATATCAAAAACATATCAGTCAACGTGGACTATCCTATTACACAACTAAAGCAGTCTTCATCTGAAGTATAATAAACTACTGTGTAATCAATTACTGCATCTTAGAAAAAAATTACAGATATATAGTTTAAAAAGGTTACTAAAAGAGCTCTGTTATTAACTCTGATACTGGTTCTGTTGTCAGGTGATTTCTAAACAGTGTAAAAAGGAATATAAAAAATGTATTATTTTTTTTCCTCAAATTGATTTAATGAAAGGATTTTGACTTGGGGAATTGTGGGTAGTATAGTTTAGTGACATAGTCTCTGACAAATATGGTCCAAACGGGGGCAAGCCATATACACTGTGGTTGAGACCTTTGACTCTGACATCAGACCACCTTGTTTTCAAGCCTAGCTCTACCACTTAATAGTTTCATAATTTCTCTTAGTCTCAATTTTCTCATTTGTAAAATAAATGTTATTGTAGCATGGTTGGGAACATTAAATGAAATATTTCATGAAAAGCACTTCACACAGTGCCTGTCGTATTTAGCTGTAAGAAAATGTTCACTGCCATTTTTATGATGTTTATTTTCTCATCTACTAAAAATCTTACAAACTAAACAATAAAATTAAAACTTAGTTACTGATATCAAGAAGATAAACATGGGTGATTTCAGAGAGCCAGTGGGGAGATTTCAGCATATGTTATGAACCAATTTCCTAGAGGTTTGAGTTAGGAAATTGAGAGACAGAACAAGCTTGAATAGGAGCAATATAGCAGAGTAGATTTTGTGTTCTGGTAAGAGGAGCTGGGGAAACCGCAAATGTATGTAGACCACATACAGATAATAAGTCAATGATTTTGTCCTCTTCGATCCTTGCTAAGAAAACTAAATGTACCAGATGACTCTTAAATATCCTGATCTATCCTCATCAATTGTCTAACAAGAAAAATCCTAGCACCACTTCTCTGTTGCAACTTAGTAGTAGGGTATTTTGTTTGTGGTTGTTCATTTTCTTGTATTTTACTTACGCCTACTGAATTTTATGGGTATTTTGAAATACCTGGTAATTAAAGCGAAGGTTTGATAGAATGTACCATCACCAAGAAGCAGCTAAACCACAAGGACCACAGTAGATATTTAATGCATTTGAGGCCGTAGACGAGTTGATTTTTTAGGCCATAGACGAATTGCATTACTTTAATGCGAAGACTTGGAAATAAAAACTACGAAGAAATGGAGTTATAAGGAGAGAATGCCCTCTGTTATTCTGGTTGGAAAATGTAGAGCTATGGTAAGTCATGCAATAGTTGTCTGCAGAAAAAGGCTAACATGATTTTGAAGGAGTCATATGTCTTTGCAAAGCAAACTAGGGATTGCCTTTATGTAAGAGGGAAAAAAAGGCACTCGGACCACTTGATGATTCCAACACTATTCATGACTTGCTGTGCTGACATTCTATAGATTGATGGGGTCTTCAAGTGTGGAAATACTGAGTCATACAGAAGATGAGACGTTTCAATAGTGAAAAAAATATTTATGCCGTCAGCAGATTGTCAGTTAAGGTGGTTTAGATTATAAGAGTCACCAAACAGAGACTGTGTCAGGTTGCAAATTATTCTAACCACAAAATCATTTGAAAACAAGTAGAGCAAATTTAGAGTGAACGAGTACGCCCCCAATCCTTTTATGTCTTCCTGCCCCTCTTCCTCTTGTTCCTCCTCCTCCTCTTTTCTTGAAAGGAAAACTGCTGACTCTGTATCTAAACATAATACTTCTCTCATGAGAAAAAATAAATAAATTAAGATGGAACTAATCTTTTTTCAGAAAGTGTTGCTTTTTCCCCAGTATGCAAGTGCTGTAGGATATAGATAGTGACTTGTGGTTCTATGGGGCGCTTCTTTGTCTTTTTCTGTTTGTTCTCTCTCCCTTTATGTAGTCTTTTTGTAGATTGTCTTAATGTCTCCCGTTAATGACTAATTGTGTCTGTTTTGTAATGACATCCATTGTTTTGTACAATTCTTTGATAAGTTGGAGGGACAAGAAATGAAATCACTGCAGCTGTTTTAGTAACAATTATAATTTAAAGCCCTACTGGCTCATTTAACCATTCCATTTCTGACATCCAGCCCAGACTTACAACAGTTTCAGATCAAGGATCAAGAAAACATCCTGTGATCTGAGCACCCGCACAGCGGCAATCATGCTGCCTTTCTATCCACTCATGCAGTAGCCTTCCTTCATGTTGTGGTGTTTGGTTTTAATCATTACCTTGTCTTTCTTCTTCCAAACAATTATGCCAAAAATAAAGGAAACTGAGGTAAGTGACTTCAAGTGGGGATAAGCTGAAGGTGCTATGCTAATTGTCCTCATCAGAAATCAGTCAACTGACTGTATTGGAACCAAATCAGAGTCATATTTTTCTCTTTCCTGTTTGATAAACTTCTTGATCACTTTAGCTTTGAGTTGGAACTCATACATGTTCACTTATTTTCCTTTGGTCACTATTTTTAAAGCCTTATCTGTAAATTTTATTTTCTTGCTATGAAGTATAGATTTTCATAAGCCATCTTAAATATTTTCTGGAGGAAGATGCGAAAAAATAAGTACATTTATGAACATAATATTTTGTGCTATTAGCTATGAACCGGCTATGTCTATCTTACTGACACTATCAGATCCAGTTTTTAAAACGTGTCTAATTGCTCACCGTATTGGATAGCAATACCACTATGGACTACATTTCAAAATAGCACCGGAATTTATTTACTCACTCTTTTAGTTCAAAAGTATCATTTTTATTGCGGAAAAGTATTAACTGAAGTGCCCCAAAGTTTGGTTAACTTGTTTTCTCCAAATATCAGCTCCTTTTGGAATTAGAACTAAAAAGGTTCTGTATCTATTATTTTATTTCATTTATTATCACTCATTCTCCAAGAAAATAAAAACTGCAGTAAGGAATTTCTACTGTACCGAAGAAGAAGAAGAAGAAGAAGAAGAAGAAGAAGAAGAATTTCTACTGTACAAATAGCATTGTGCTAGTCTAGCGTTTCTGTCAACTGCTGTGTTGGTTGGCTTTTTGAAAACTGTGAGCTCAAGCATGGAATTTTTTTAGAGATCAGGTCATCCTTAGGCCGTACCCCACTGTGGCCTAGGTTGTCTTTTTGGCTTCTATATCCAATGCCTTGTAGATTATGCCCACGTTCGAGTGCTTCCTGTATTAAAGCTTTTCGTTTTTCTCACTGTCATCTTTCCCAGGTCTACAGCATCAAGACAAGAGCAAGGAATCACCATGGTACTGAAACACAGTATTAGCAAGTCAGGTTGGAGTGTGACTCCGTGGGCCCACTGGGAAAGATGCTGCCAGGATTTTCCATTCTGCAGTGGGACACAATAGACATGCAAGGAGAAGAGGAAGTATCAGCCAGCTGACTTTGGTTGGGAGCCTTTTCTTGAGAAAGCCCAGTGGGTCCTAGACATTGAAGAAAAGCATTTTTGTTTGTTTTTTCCCTTCATCTGAGCCTTTGCCAACTGTGCAACTCTCTTTTTTTGTCTTGCTTTTATGGATACATGGTTTAATTTTTGTTTCCTTTTGATTTTTTTCCCCCCTTTTTGAACCAACCGCCTTGTCAGGAAAAGATGAACCACAAATGAAAATGCTCATTCTTTCAGGAATACAATTTTGTAGCTCTATGTGTCTCTATTTTTGTAGAAATACAGAAAGTTTGATTTAGCATTGATGGGCTATTTTTGAGGGATGTATTTTTTTTAATATTGTAAAAATTGTTAAGTTCTGTTTAAAGAACTTGCTCTCAGAGAAGCACTGGCAAAAATGTTGAAAAGGCTTGTCTTTCGATGTCTGTGATGTCCTCTGTGCTTTCTAGGTTACCTCAAGTGTTTGATAGTTTCTCCTTTTTTACAAAAGTAGCACCATAGCCAAGCCAATATAGTATTGTTTTACATTAAATCTCGGTGAAGATTTAATTCCATGCTAGCTCACCTAGCTTTGAGTTATATGCATAGCTTGAAAAGGAAGTTTTTTAATGACCACACTAAAGAAAGGATATTTCATTACTTCGATTTGTCCCAAAGAGTACTTGGAGGTTGACTAAGTTTTGCAGAAACTTTCAGTCAGAGGGAGAGTTTGCCTAGCGTATGTAGTTGTCTTTCTAGCCCATCCAACTTTGACAAATGGAACCATTTTATATCCAACTACTGGAAAAAAAAAGTACATTTACCCATGCTACCTTTGATTGCCAGTGGCTTAGTTTCCTTGTTTCTAATTATGCAATCATGGCAATTTTTAAGGTCATATTTTAAGTGGATCTTTTTTTCCTAGAGATGGTTTGAAGGGATAATATCTGGGAAGGTACTAGACGTGTCACAAAGCCTTTAATTCAATGGCTGTTTCTAATAATGTTACTCATCATTGTAAATTGAAAAATAATATATTATATATGTAATATTTCAAACATGGGTTTTTCAAGACTTTCTTGGTTGTTTAAATCTGGTCTTAGCTGATTGAACTCTTTTAAGAAAACTTTTTAGAGCAAAATGATATTTAAATTGGAATTTATGCCACAATTACTTAAATTGGGGTAATAAATTGACTATTTATTCTTTGAAATTTATCCTTGAATACTCAGGATTCAACTTGGCATGGCCCTCAGGATCTAAATAAGGTGAAGTTGGAATTATCATTAAGACCTTGTTTGGAAAAGATTAGGGTTATGAAAGTAGCAGTTAATATCTTAAGGATTTTTGATGCAAAGTCCATTCTCATATAGCTGCTTCCAGAGATGGGTCACATTAAAAAGTTAGTGTTATATAGAAATTTTTGTTTGGTAAAAGTTTCTCAAATGTGCCCCCTCCTGGTCTTCACCCATATGAAATAGAGTGTTATGTGAAATACCACTTTCCATTTTAAACTGTGTGTATCTTGTGCATAAACATTTTAGCTATAAGAACAGCATAACCTCTGCTCAGCTAGGCAGGGTTCTTACAGATAATTTAAAATAGTTCCCTTATCTCTGTTTTTTGCATTAGTTTTCTTTCCTGGTGCCTCTGGTGAGTTATAAATCTATTATACACTCTTTTGTATTCTTATCATAAGTTGCTTCTTCTTAACCAGACTCTCCTTAACGCAATATGCATATTTTTACCTAATGTGAGGTCAAAACTTAAGGAATTTTCTACTTACAAATGATATGAACTTAGATTTCTAGGGAGTGGCTTGGTCAAATTATCTATATTTTGATCTATAATTTGACTTGTTACGGTTGTATGTACTTTGCCCAATCTGTGGAGCATGAAGTTAAATGACTCTATAAAATTGGTTTCCTCTTGTGTCCTCCTGAGTTTTCAAAGACAAGTATTCGGCAGTTCCCATGGGATGACTCACTGGGGATTATTTATTTTCCTCCTATTCCCTTGGAACCTATTAACTTCCTCTGCAGTTTCTCTTAGAACAGCGTTGTACTCCAACCCATTCAGATCATTCAATTGGATTTTCCCAATTAAGGAAGAAGAAAAGTATTCACTCTCTGCTCCTCTCCTTATTCTCCATTGAATTGAATTCAAGGAGAGAGAGACAATTGAATAGCTACACCCTGAATTTGGACTGTGTTCTGTGCCACTCCTGGTAACTATATATGAAAGGTTCCTTGGCTCTGGGGCCCAAGAAAAGCTGGGGGCCTGAATTCAGCTGTATCCAGGAAAGATTTGTAAGTGAGGTCTCCTGTTGAGAAAAGGCATTGTTGACATACTACAAGGGTTAGATCCTTGCACAGACAAGGAATGGATCAAAGTCTAAGTAAAAAGAGAGTGCATGTCTCTATAATTGCCTGGCATCCCCTTGGTTTTGTTTTGTTTTGTTGTGTTTTTTGCCTGGTATCCCCTTGTTATGATCATATTACCTTCACCACCAGAAGTTATAAAAGAGGATGAGTCGTAATTTAGCATGATATTCTGAATTTATTTTAAGTTGAAAATGCTATCACTCTCTGGGTCTGCTCTTCTCACATCAAAATGATACTATTGAACTTAGAGGCTTCTAACCTGCTTTACAGAGGCCTACCAACTTCCTCCCGCATTCATTTGGAACCATTCCACCTTTGACTATTTTAAAAATTAGACTTCCTTCAAGGTTTCTAATGAGCTAGACCCTATTAAATCATCTCATTTATTTGACATCTAATCTAGGCTTCGACCACCAAACTAACATGAGTTAAGGAACAACATAATAGTGATAAGTAAGATCTCAACAGGCTATTTTGTCCCTCACTGTTTATTTGAAAAGAACCTCTAAATATTTTAGAAAACAATGTTTCTTCTTAAGAAGGTTAACTGTCCCCTCCTAACTTTCATTTGTAATTTTTTTTTCTTTCTCTGTCCTCTTAAAATTATTTACATTATTATTTTAAGCAAAAATGGCCAGGGTTGCTCTACATTTTGCAAATGAGAACCAGTGGGTTGCAAATAATTTAAGGAATTCTTTTAACTTTATAAAAACTTAAAAAAAAAAAACAAATTCTAGGCACTGGCATAAAACATGCCCTTGAGGAGCTCATTATTTATTTTGCAAATCATATTTCCTATTCCTATTCTAGGACCTGCAGAATAGGGTAGGATCTATCTAGTTTTTGCATTTGCTATCTAGTTTAATGTTCTATTTGTCATTTAAAGTTGCAATCAGAAACTATATTTCAAGAAACTAAATTCTATTTCTTACTGAGTGTCCCTTTGTTACATAATATTTGCCAAATTAAGTCAATGGGGCAGTGGCGTTAAGTGGTGGAAAAGGAAAGTTTATATATCGGAGTGTTGACTGAGGGATGAATAGAGAAGCAGAATGAATTAATGCAAAGAGTATTGACTTGTGCATTAGGTCATTGTCTGAATTCTGGCTTGGCCACAATTAGATATGTGTGATTTGAGGTTTATTTATCTTATGAGTAAAATGAGATAATAGTACCTAACCGGCAGGCTGTGAAGTGTGGAAATCGTATCTATCTATCTATCATCAATCATATCTGTCGCAGAGTAGATGTTCAATAAATAAGAGGTACCACTGTCAATTAAGTAAGTAGGTCATAAAATTGAGCTCCAGATGTCCCTTCTTTAAACTTTCCATATCCATTTTTGCAGCAAATAGATATATGACTGCTTTTTCATAACAAATTGTTGCAAGAGAATCTTGTCCACTATTTGTTGAAGATAAAATGTAAATTTCTTAATTATTTCTGTTACTTTAGTGTGTCATTTATGAAGGAAAATAAATTAACCTTTTAGTGGTATGTAGGTCCAACTGTGAATTTTCTTACATTTCCAAAATTTTATTCACCCGGGATCCTATGTATTATTTTCTCCCAAATTAAGGCAACATCTTTACTAAATCACCAAAGTTTATATTTTTTCAGTTCTATTTTGGGCTTCCTTAGCACCTGGAATAAAAACCTCTCTTTTGAAGTTATTCATTTTTTTTTTTTTTACTTGCCTTGAGGAAAAATTGCAAAATATGGTGGAAAAAAATCGTTTGCATGAAAAGGGGAGGGAAAAAAATCCCTTTACAATCTCAGCAGATTTACTCTGCTTGAGAAAAAAAGAAACAATTTTATTGGAAGCAGATGTTGACACTGTGTCAGTTATTGAAGATGGAAAGAGTTCACTTGAACCATTGCAGTTACAAAGGAGTATTGATGGCAGTTAGAATCCCTGTGATTGATCACCTTCATAGCAGACATAAGGACAGCAGAAAAGCAGAAACTGTATGAGACCAAGACTGAAATCAGCCTGCTGATTTTCATGTACAGGATCTTTAGGACCCAGTTTCAATTCGTTTTGTGTTTTCTTTCCTCCAGGGTAAAAGACACATCTTTCAGAAAGTTTAAGGCTTTTTGAGAAATTAAAATTTATTCTGCAAAAACAGGGCCTAAGAGCTCTTTAACTCTTTTGTTGAAGTATTAAAACTCTTATTAAAGTCATTTTAGAAAAATCAGGTTATACTTTTAGTTCAAAAATGTATGTGGAAGACAAATAGATAAACTACACAAAAGTGGATGATTGAAGTTTGGGGTATGGGTGGGCCCTGCAGGGAAACCTCAGTCTCAAGAGCTTTAAAATGTTAATTACCTTGGTAACTTGGTCATGGACATTGGGCACAGAACAGACTTTCAGAATTTTTCAGCAGGCTTTTTTCTTTTAGTGCTCTCTGGGAATTTCATCCTATACACTTTTCCAAAATATAGAAATAGCCATTATTATTAAAATATCTTGATTTTCTTATTTCCTTTATTGTCCATTATGCTTTTTTTGTTTGTTTGAAAAATATTTGTATAGTTTCAAATAATTGATCAAACTAGTGTTCACTTGAAATTGCAAATTAATTAGATCCAATAAATTTATCTGAATCTCCTTTTAAAGAAATACTAATTGAATTAAGTGTAATTTACCAATTCCATTATATAAGTAAACAATGATACCTTCTAGAAAAGGTCAGGTTACTGTCAATTAGCTTCCTTTTTAACAATTTCTGGACTACTAAATTTTGACATAAGAATAACTCCTTTAGAATATAAGATTCTTTAGGGGTTTCTTTGGTGTATGCATAAGATGTGAACTTTTCTAATGATATCTCTTTATACTAATAAAGATGTACATTTTTTTATGCTGTGGCTAGGGCAAAAAATAATGATTATTTACACACATGATTTAATTTCTTAGGATATTTACAATCTTGGATATTATATATGATTTAAAAAGACTATTCCATACATTTTTCTGGATATACAGTATAGGGAAGTGTTTTCATGTGAATTCTTTGTATCATTTTAAAGTGCATATATTGAAAGGGAAAACATGGATTAATTTGTTTTTATC